AAAAAAAAAAAAAAAAAAAAAAAAAAAAAAGTCATCAAAAAAATATGAAAAAAGATAAGTTATGGAGAAAAATAAATTAAAAAAGATTTGCCTGAGCATTACTTCCGAGTTCCTTACCAAATTTGAAATAACAATAAAATACACAGAAAAAATACTAATAATATAAATAAATAAATAAAAAAGAAAATTAAATTTAGTGAGTGCGCGAGCATGTTTTCGAGACCGCCATTTTTAGCGATTTTTCATTTTGTTTTGGCATAGCTAAATGCCCTGAAAATTTACAGATGTGTACTTCACATAATACAAACCCAACTAAAAAAGTTTCAAGAAATAATAATTTTTTTTAGACCCCGAACTAAAGTGGAAACAAAAAGTAAAAAGTGAAAAAAAATGTGGGCGAGCACGTTTTGACACCGCCATTTTTGGCGATTGTTAATTATTATTTGGCTAAGCCAAATGACTTGAAAATTTATAGGCATGTACCTCACGTCATAGAGAAGTCGTCAAAAAAAATACAGAAAAAAAATATATATTTTTAGGCCTTGAAATAATTTTTGGCGGCCCGTCGAACGCCCGAACGTACGGATGTCCACCCGGGGGCCTCCGTACGTACAGGCTGGTAACCCTGTATATATATATATATGTATATATATATACACATATCCATTATCAATCTATTGCGACTGCTGCCGTCTGTACTGAAGGGTGTCCAACATTTCCTCACTGTACGTATCCCTATCACCCAGATATATGTTGTCCGTTTTGTGCCCAAGGACGCTATCAGAACTGCATGATGCCGCACTGTGATGAACGTCCTGCTGTTCTTTTGACATGTGGACAACATGTCCTCTGTCAGGACTGTTTTGATGGGGAGAGAGGGAGAAGAGGACAACATACCACGCCTGTGACAAACTGTTTCGTCGGAGTTTCGCCGACTCATATGGAGGCTGAATTCTCAACGGTGTGCAAAATTCACTGACTGACTACACTAAGTGTTAATC